TGAAAGGTAAAATCACAGTTTTTGTCTCTGGAGTCTGGTGGTGAGCGATATTGATATTATGGCTGTCTCTGGTTAAACAAAAGATCTATCTCTTAGGATCCTTTCCTTTGTCAGACACTTTAAATATCAATCTAAGCCTGTCAGTCACAAAAACAGCCCCAAGGATTAACGTTAGCTTACATTGCAGCACTTTGCACGATTATTTCTCACATCTAACTAATACATTTTGTGTATATAATCTTTAAGATAACAAATGATGTCAAAACATATAATACATTAGTTTGTTTATCCATTTAGAATCAAATAGAGACATATTCAGAAAGACAAGCATCCTATTTTACAGTTCTCCAAATTTCTCCAAATTTTGTAAGTTTAGTTTCCAGCCAATGCAGTCTATGAGTTAAGTAATGGCAGATGTCATTTGCATTTGACAACGTGCAGTAAAGTTATACACATGAGCAACTAACATAATTGCTTCCTTGTTAGTGAAAGAATATGTATCACATCTTCTATGTGAGTTTAAATTCACTGGACAATTTCCTTGCCTTAGGATTTTATCTAAATTTAGTAACCAGGTGTAAAAGCCACTATTTTGCACAATATATGCTGTTCCCAAAAACTCTCATGACTGCTCTGCACCTCCATCAGCCTCACACTGAATCCCATTTAAATGCTGTATCCCTCAAGGGCAGATGCTACTGCCAGAGTTTCACATGATTAAACTAAAGGGAAAGTTTCTTAGATGTGACTGTACACAGAGATCTGGTTAATGGTCTCTCAAAAGTTTTGTTCCAAATCCTGCAACTTTAGCAGTGCTTGTAACTGCGAACACTACATAAGCCAGTGTACACTGTATCCACACACACAGTATATCACTATGTATTGTCAAGTACACTATCTAATTAAAGCAAGTCTCTGTACTATTTACACCCATCTGTACTACTCTAACAGCCATTGGTGGCCTATAACTATCAACCAGCGTACAGCAATCAGGGTGCCACACATGCAGAGGTACACACATATAAACACACCACACACAGTGGTGATATAGTTGGTCATTTGTCACATGGATGTCAGAAGGCATCAGAGGATAACACAGACATGTTCCTGAGCAAAACACACACACACAAAGTCTGTGCAGTAATAATGCAGCAGCGCTTTCTACTAGTAATAAACAATTGGGTGACATAAAGATTAACATGTATATCAGCAGACATAATTCTCATAGATCAACTCTGGGTCCTGTAGTATCTCTAATAGATTCCATAGGATTTACTGGTGGTGGTGGTTATCAGCTACACCAAATACATACTGGAAACAATGTGAACGAGGGGAAAGAATTGCAAATGAATCAGATGAGGTTCCTGCCTCACATGTATTTCCAATATATTTCTCTGTTCCCACTACAGCTGCCAAGACAAAAACTCTGGTGTATGTCTTCTGCTGCTCTCAGCGAACATGAAAACATGCGTGTTTGAGCTGTTAATGTTAAGCTTCTCTCTAATGGGAGTGTTTCTCTAATGAGTGCATTGGCATCCACTTAGAGAAGTGTTTTGAGCGCTGGGTTTTACAGCAGGACTCTTCTGCTGCACTGGATTCTGGACTGTACAGTATACAGTGCACTAGTACAGCACACAAAGGAAAAATATCAGATCAGTTATAATTTGTTCTACCATAACCCTCTTTAGATGCTAGATGCTAAATACACTATGTACTTTTAGACAAGCAACAAAGGTTTATAGATTTATGCTTCATTGTTTGTATTTAACTTTTATTATTACAAGAGAAAGGCTTTGAGGATGAGGACTAACCGATGTATTTGGCAAACATAATGCAGGTAATGAATTTGTTCAGGGTTATAGTAGCATCCAGGACAGCTCCCCCATGGGTGATATGGCCAAAATCTTCTATCACTGTATATGTAATTTTATCACAATAACGGTAAATATCACGATACAGTAGTAAATATCTGGTTTAAAATAATTGTACTTTATCACATTTGATTAGGCTATTTTCTTCTTTTAATTGGAACTTCCATACAAAAACTGCCTCAAATTCATCTCATCTTGGGTTGGTTGGGATGCCACGTGCTCTGTATTTACTATTTCACTCTCATCCTTTTCCTGTCATTCTCTCATTCTGTGGCAGTTGGCAAACCAGCTTAGATGTTACTGTCACCACCTGTTGTGTGGTAAGCAGTCCTGCTTCCCAAATCACGTTACCATGCGATGCAGCTTGATTGACTAGATCATGCAAGAATCCAGCCCTGATCTGCGACATATCCTGCCCCCAATATTTAGCAGGGACAGTAAGGGATAGCTCCTGTGGTGGAAACAGTATTGCCAAATCTCTACCGGTGGACACATTTCTACCATCACACGGTATATCTTGCCCAACACTATCTCCCACACAGTGGATATTCCAGCTAATGATACGCTAACTCTTGGCTTCGGAATAACACTGCAGTAGCGTTACTATTGTGGGCATAGTTAACTTGACATGCTAACATTTGCAGCTTACATTACAGCAGACATCGCCTTTCAGACTCTTTATATACAGTATCATTCTACAGCAGGCCGCTTCAGCATGAGGAGACATCATAAGCTTGACAGGCCTGCCCTGCCTAGTTACAGTTGCTTAGCTATGATTAGTGAACAAGTGTTTAGGGGAGGAGTTAAGAGAATGCAAATCAATTGTTGTCTTTCTTAAATTTCCATCTGCACATCAGGTTTACAGATGTTCAAGCCTTGAATGTAATTTTATGTAATACCCCTTCATCATGTAATGCTTGATATGCACTGAATAAGAACTGAATAAAACATCCCATAAATGGTGGAAGAATCTAACTTTTTCTTTCATTTTTCTTGTGTATGAAATACAGTATATGGAATAGCAATGGACAGGGCAGAAATATTCCCTCACTCTGTCTCTATTACCTTGAAAGGTAAGCACGCAGCCTGAGATGTAAACACAGGAAACTGCAGGGAAGAAGAACTTCAACAAGTGTATCTCACTTCTCTTCTCTCTCTGTTCATTTTCTGCTCTCAATGTAATATTTAAAATCTCTCTGGATGTTTTTGCTAGAGATATGTGGTATATCTTTTCCCCTATAATGGCCTGCGATCAGCCCATTCGCTTCCTCCTACTCTTCTCTCTCCCTCGCTTTATCACGACTCTCCCTTCCTCTGTGCCAACATACACAACCTCAGACAGCCTGCACACGCCTGGGGAATGAGCATTAAGTCCAGTATGTTTATTCAGTGGAGGTAGACTGCGTGACGACTGGCTCTTCCACACAAGCTGTGTTTGACATTCTGCTAAAGCACACCAGGAAGCAGACACACAAGCAGAGATATCGCAGCAGGCTTGTGCAAACATGCAAACGCCCACATACAACCTATTGACCATTTACATCACCAGAATCTTGGGACTGCTTCACTGCAATATTTACTGAACTTAAGCCCATGTTAAGCACCAGCTTCATGACTTATGTGAGTAGCCATCGATCTCAGCGCCACTCAGCTTTAATCACAAGTGAACAGCTTCCACTCGAGAGACACTTTAGCAGCTTCGTAACTGAAAAGCTTCTCTCAAAATGAACAGTTAATTAGTTAACTTCGCCTCTTCAGAGGAATGAGTTTGTTGTTGCTGTTGTTGTTGTTTCAGAGTTTTATGAGTATGTCAAAGTGACGGCATACTCCTCTTCATCCGTTCTTAATGAGCCTACATGAAGTTTTTGGGAGTAATTAACGGGGTGAACGCACAGCCCAGCGCTGACAAATTTAGAATATCAGAGCTGACATCAAATGAGTACTCTCCAAGGACTGCAATCAAGTAAACCTGCCAAATAGAGGAGGTATACATGTAATGTGTATGTGCATAAGTAATAAACAGTAACACAGGAGCATGCCTCTTGACTCACAAACAGCAACAGTGTAAGTTACCTCGACCAACCAAAGGTTCAAAAATCCAATTAAGAGCAAATCAGAGTTGCCTGTTAACCTTACCTTAAACTCTGATATTGCAACATCCTGCTCTGGTTCTGAATAAAGGCTTGAATACACTCCCAAACGGATGTATACATGGACACCTGAGGATATCCCAGCCACGTAGTAATGTTTATACTATTTCCTGGAGTTCATTTGAACTTTTTTTCCCCAACAATTCCCCAATGAAATTTACTTGGTGACTCAGACCCTGGCAGACTGACGGTAGTATAATTCCTGCTTAACACTAGGGTGGTAACTAACTAGGTAACTAGTTAGCCAAGAATGCTAATTTTAAAAGAGACCTCCTGCAAACTCAACATGCCCAGCATCACTCTTACTGCAGCTCCATGTGTAAAATGAGAAATCCAAAGCTTGACAGACTAGCGTGCCTAGTCATGATTGCTAAGCTATGATTGAACATTTCCGTTTATGGGGAGGGGTTTAGCGACTAGGTAGTTGCTGTCTTTTTCCAATTTCATTCTGTCAATGGGAGAATAACATTTGACACCCATTGTGGAGATCAGCAGATTTGGGTTCAAAGTCCAAAAATAAGTACTTCCTTAATCCTTAATGCACCATTATATCTAGCTGAAAACTACAAAGACGAGACAAACCAACATAAAGATTGTTTCCACTGCCTTGCACAGATTTTTTTGTGTACAACAATCAGGACAGAGCATATGCCTTATGTCCCTCATCGGTAGACGACTCTGCAAATGCTGCAAGAACGCCAACTGTCAAATGTATTCGTACCACAACAAATATGTATAATACATAAGATTAGAATCCCTCCATCACACACTACATTTAATCTGACAAATGTCAATACCAACTGACCCACCGGAACAGATCCAGTCCAACTTGGTCGAATCAGTTGTCACGCCGAAATCATATTCATTATTGACTTAACAGCCTTAATGTGCATCACCACCTTTAGAAGAGCGCAGCTGCACTCTCTGTTGGCAATTTTGGTAAAAAGCAGGATTACTAACATGCAGTCCACTTTCTTACCTTTCTCCACAGTGGTGACTCCCATGGACGGCTGACCCAGGCTGGCCTTCGTCTCCCATTTGCCCTCGTCGGGGTGGTACATCTCCACTGAGGCCAACGGGGTCTGCTGCTGATTCATGCCCCCGAGCACCATCACCTGGCCCCCCAACGCCACAGCCGAGGCCCCGGCCCGCGCTGTGGGCAGCGGCGGCAGCTGGCTCCATGTCTGGCTCTCTACATCCAGTACCTCGACGCTGTCCAGGGGCATTCCGGTCTCGCTGCAGCCCCCCAGCACGTACAGCAGGCCTTCGTGGTAAACGGGAGTGCAGTAGACGCGACGCTGCGTCATGGGGGGCAACTGCTCCCAGTACAGGGACTTGACAGGACTCACCGCCATCTCCTGCACAGGCATGTCTCCAGGACCGAGAGGAGGGGACACACCATCACACACGGCGCCGGGGAGGAGAAAGAAAAGAGCAGGAGAGGTTCAGGTGAGGGGCAAAGGTGGAACAAAACTGAGCAAGAGCAGAAGAAACAAGCGTAGGCACAAGCTTGTTTCTGTCTGTTTGAGTGACCGCCTGAACCCCTGTGTCCACAGAGGGAAAGAGACGAGAGCAAGTCAAAGATGGATAGAAGGAAGGTGTATGAAGAGAAAAGGGATGTTAGTGAGCGAAAGAGTGGACAGAATAAGTAAAGAGAGAGAGAGAGAGAGAGAGAGGGAATGAGGAGAGTGCCTAACTCACTCCACAGCCAGATGTCACGACTCCCTCTCTATTCAAATGTTTTATTCATCCAGCTGTTGATGTTGTCGAGCGACGAAGCCATCTGCCCTTCAATCCCCTCAATTCCTTTCTTTCCAACCCTCTCCCCTCCTTCACTGCATCCTGCCGGGAGGTTATTTTGGTTACAGTTTTGGCTTGAGGATATTCCTGGGAAAAAAAGATGCTTGAAGAGGGCGTGCCAGTGCTAAATACTTAATCCCACAAAAAGCTCAAAGTCAAGAGTGGAGGAATTGAAAAAGAGAAAAAAGTGGAGTGGAGTGGAGAGATGGCAGTGGATCAAAGACCTGGGAAGGGAGAATTAAGGAACACTGACCTTCACTAGTGCCTTGATAATCCAAGAGAAAGCCTTTACGGCAGAGAATTTTATACCTTCAAACTAAAGGCAATTACTCAGGACCCAGCCTTCAGCTGCAGCTCTGTAGTTCTATTTTGCAGCCTACAGTGAAAAAGAATGCTTTGAATAAATTAACCTAGTCTTTAAATGAAAATGAAAACTCTACAGTAGTGTAATGACCGCAAGTCCTTCCGTTTTCAAGATTTTCTGCCTTTAATTAAACACGAAATCCAAATCCTGGGGTCTTCTGAACTGTGTGCTTTGCAGCCTCCTTGTAGCTTAGGAGAGGATGAGGGTCTCTTGACGGGGTACAACCTGGAAAAAAAGATAACAAAGGATTAAAACAGGAATTGGTGTATAAAGTAAGAGCTAGAATGATGATCTTTCCCCTAAGGAAAAAAGAAAATCCTGTTTATATGCTGAACAAATCTCTTCTCAACAAACTGGACGTCATTTACCATACCGCCATCTGCTGTGTCACAGGTGCTCCTTTCAATACTCATCACTGTAACCTGTATTCTCTAGTCAACTGGCCATCACCCCACACCAGGCGTCAGATCCACTGGAATCACCATTTCCAACAGTAACCACAATAAACGTTCTAGCTAATTCATTACTTTGGAAACCCCTAAAGTCCGTAGCTCTTTCGGCTGTCACTCTTTTCAGTCTGCTGCTCCCAGTAGCAGCTGTCTTACTCTACAACGACCACAAATATGCAGACTAAGTTGCTAACGTTAGCGTGCCCCCAAAGTGAGACAGCGAAGTGGAGTACCACAGACGAGCTGAGCAACGTCGGTGGTGTACAACTTCGTCCGGTTGCTACTACCCAGCACACTCAGCTCGTAAAAAGGCCATCAGCGATATGATAGCAAGATTTATATGGAAGAATATGTTGATATGAGGCCCATTGGTGAGGCAAGAGCAAATGTCTTATCCTTTAGTATACGTTGTGTTGTCATACAGTTGAACTATGTTTTTTGAGATTATCTGAATACAATTAAACGGGTTATTTCAAATTCGTCAAAGCAGCTAAAGTGCAAAGCTGTTAACAGTATTATTGGTGGTTATCAGTCTTATATGAACATTGTCAGATATGGCCTACCATCAGTTTGTCTTTATTACCATAACTGTCCAACTATATAGCTGCTGTACTGTATTAACAATAAATATAATGCCATTTTTAAATATGTAAAGTATACCACTTAAGTAATATATTGATAAATGTGAGGTAAATTGAGCAAATTTAGAAAATTATCCAACTTTACTTAGAAGTTAATTAGGCCTTTAGTTCAATTTATAAATATCAATACTGGTCAGTATATTTTAGCTCTTTCAATCACAGTATTTCAGTGGCTCGTCTTTTGACATTAAAATCAATGAAGCTTTAAATTTGCAAATGTACATGGATGACTCAAGGCTGAGTTAGCATCTGGCTGAGTTGGAAGCAGACTGACTCAGAACAAGTAATCCTGTCAGGTCTCAACATAATAGCATCGCATTCAGATCACAATGCATGTTATAATCAGAATCACATTCATACTGTTGACTGCAATGAGATGTGTGTGTGTGTGTGTGTGTGTGTGTGTGTGTGTGTGTGTGTGTGTGTGTGGAAGACACAGCACGAGGTGAACACACTGTGACCTGAGGATTGAGAGGGAAAGCAATGACATTTAGCAGGTGGGAAGGCGACATATCTCTGCATTCCTCAGTTTCTCCTCTGCTGTCCCCATTTTTCTAGCTTACACTTTATACTGTACATACATATATAAAGTTTTATATATTCATAATTAATGATTCTCTCTCTCTAGTCCCACTTACTGTCCTGAGCCCCATGGATAGGCTGACCTTTTCCAAGTGAGAGGGAAAGAGAAATGAGGACGAGGTTAGTGTGTGTACATACCTGTATGTATGTGTGAAAATTCAAACGTCTGTGTTTGTGTGTGTGAGAGTGTGTCTACAGGAGGTATATGAGAAAATACCTGAGATGCTAAGGGTCATCGGACTACCACAAAGGGGTGGGTGGTATTATATTGTGAAGATATTCTTGCAATAATGATATAATAAAATACTGGGAAAAAGCTATAACTATAAAATTCTGGGAAGTTGTTACCATCATATACTGCTTAAATATCACTATGGCTTGTTGTAGATCTTATTGTAGTTAAAGAGGATCTATTGTCAGAAATTGAATATAATATTCATAGGTATGTTTTCATTAGTGTATAATCACCTGGAAATAAGAATCCTGTTGTTTTTTGCAATGATGCTGCTTTTGCTTTCAGCTATGCTTGCTACTGCTCCCTGCTGCTCCTTTTTTAAAAACTGCCCGTCATGAGTCTGACAGCATGTCAATGCTAAATCAGTGCAGTAGTCTTTCAAGTATGTTACCAAAATCAACTAAAATAAAGAAAGAACGAGAGTCCATTATATTATCATCATTGCGAATTGAGAGCTCCGACAATCATATATCAGTTTTTTTATTGACACATTTTGGCATGGCAACTGATACAGTTCAGTTACTGGGTGAAAATTCATGTCATGCACCACGTTGCTTTAGAAAGATAAGATAAGCTTCAAACTTCATTCGAACATTCTATATTTAACAGTTTTGCGATTGTTACTGACAGCTGTATTAATATCTCTAATGGTTTCAGGTCCCATAATACAACTACTGACACTGCTACCTTTGTTTCTGTTTGCTGATTTTAAACAACAGGACATGGAAGTCTGCAGTTTGAAGTTCACATTTTTGTGTGAGCACAATAAGCAGCCTTAAATAGAAATGTGGGGGTGCCGATTATGCAAATGATCAAATCTCATGCACCTCTTCATTTACAGGTGGTATTCATCAGGTTGAAGCAAGCAATTTCCAACAAGTTTGTTCTGTTACCAGAGTTTGGTGAGTCTAATGTGGAACAAGCAATGAAAATGTTCTTACATGAGGCCCAATGTGAGGAAAACTTTTTTACAGTTGGCTGGATGTCTGAATTTGACTCTGCATGTAATCTGAGGACTGCATAACATTCATGCATTGCTATATATCAACCATCATATCCATATCAAATATAAGATGTGTGTACTGACTGTAGCTTAGTCCTGTTTCATTGACACATAACTCATTTCCCTCTGAGCTCCCCTGTGTGAGCGTGTGGTATGAACATTATGCTGGTGGCGAGAGCAAAAATAAAACCAAAGATGTGAGACTGTGAATGAGGATGACCAACCCGTATAATCCCTTTATGATGAGTCCCCAACAAGAAAAACCAAAGGCATTAAATGAAATGATACAAGCAGTGCGAGGAACGCACTACAACTGCACCTCAAATCTCATAGCAACCATTTCTGTCACCCTTATGGGTTCCATGTACTTGCCATTATTAGCCATTATCTCTTATTTGTGTACGGTCATAATATGGCTGCGCACAAATAAAAACTTGAAATCTACCAACCAGGGACCTGTTATGCTATGTGCAAGTATTATGCACATTTAGTTTGGGGAATTGTGTTTGGCTATTCCTCCATTTTTTAAAATTGTTTTTTACTTTAATAGAAACAATATGAAATAAAGGATTTTCTCACAAACATATTTATATCAAATAATTTGATATAGATACATACATATTGTTACATTTTTGTGAAAGGCTCGCTGTGAAAATAATTTAGTTGGGTTGAATTACTTTTCCTCTCACATTAATAACTGACAAACTCCAATGACTAAATCCTAAAATACTTCAAATTACTTAAAGGAATACTTGACCCTTTGGGAAATACACTTCCAGTGTGTGTGTGTGTGTGTGTGTGTGTGTGTGTGTGTGTGTGTGTGTGTGTGTGTGTGTGTGTGTGTGTGTGTGTGTGTGTGTAAAGTTGAGAGCTCTGTTGTGCAGCAGCCTCACAATGACTAGGAAAAAAATATCTTTCTTTTTCTATTATTTATCAGTGTTCTATGATTTTGGGAGGCGAGATCCAGTCTACTGTTTTGTTTCAGTATAAAAATTCTGCCACAAACATGCTCTTATGAGATGGGGAAATCTGGCAGCATGGCAACATTTGATGTGAAATATGCGAGTTACGTCCTGCTACTAAATTTAACATCTGAAGCTTGTCATATCATAAACGGTGCACCCACATCCTCACATCTATGAATGGAAACAGACATCAGTCCTTCCTGTGGATCTCTATTCCTTCCAATGAGTCTACCAGGGAGATTAGAAGACATGGAAAACTCAAAATTATGCAAATGTATCTTATTTAATTCATGAGAATATCATCTCTCACACTCAGTCTTTCCATCTCTCCTCAATAATGCTGTGCTTGATGATGCCAGAAATAGGTGACTTAAAGGCTGAGATATTATGAAATGTATAATTTGTCTGTGTTGACACTACTATTTCATTTAATTATCTAATTGCCATTTCATTACATAATACCAGTAGGCTAAAGAGTACACACAGTTCTCCCAATGCTCAGCTGCTAGAGATGATTATACTCTGGTTATCAGCTGTGAATGGTGCCATGTTAGAGCATGCATGGCAGATGTGACTATGATGACCAAGACTCCCTGGGGTGCTCTGTTCCTACTAGCAACACATGCTGCTGACAGCCTAATAGACTGAGCCAACAACACAATAACAGCTAAATAGAGGGAATCAACCACATAGTGGAAGTACATTTGCGGCAGTATGACCCTTTAGGGATCCTGAAGTTCAATTATACTTAGAAATTGCAAATGTTCAAATGTATCAAGGTGGAACCTTTTTATAAAATGACCAACTCCAAATATAATTAACTCTTCGCTTTATAGCTTCATCGGCAAGTGTGTACATATAGCCTAATCCACACCATGATGTCTTACATATGATGAGCACTTGAGTAAACCATAAATGATCAAGAAGGTCTATAGAATCAAATGCAGCGCACTAACATGGGAATACAATAATAGACTGTGGTAGAAAGGCTGATGAAGTTACAATGAAAACCCATTGGGCCCTTATCTGACCTCACTAGCAACAAAGGCACTTTATCTATCACTTTAAGTGCAGTCACAAAGGTATTTTGCTCTGCGTGTGAAATGAGGGTGGAAAATAAGCTAGTGGGTTCTGAGAACATATCAGACCACTGACCTTAGGCAAGAGCTAAGAGGTGACAAGACTAAGGGCCTGTCCTCACGAAAAAATTTTTCTCAATTCGGGATAAATACTTTATGGTATCGGCCTTGCGTCCAGACGGATACGGCGTTTTCGGGGTGTGTAAACGGTATTTTTTTGGAAACGGGTCCAGAGTGGGAAAATCTGAAAACACCGGATTGCCCGGAGTCC